CCCGAATTAATTAATGCAGCCCGAAGCTAATATCAAACGCTACGAAATACTTGTCCATATGTCACCACTGTAATTATGATGCTTTCCTTTGTATTAAACAAAATGAATTGTCAGGCAAGTTTTGAGATTATACTATAATGTAGAGAAATATACACATTTCTTATTGAGCAGTCGCGTTGAATAAATCATGCTAAATGCTATAAATATAGAGTCAAATAAGACTGCAAAGAACAGAGCAAGCTTAGGAGCATTGAAATTAGAAATATGCTACCGTGTCTTTAAATACGTTAAAGTTCGAGAATAAAAGACCACGCAAATGTTGTTAATTTATTTTCTATTAAAACTAATAGGCCAAACAAAAGATGGTATTTCTACAACCTAAGTGGTCTAAGATATCTTAGTACTTGTAGTTTTCTAAGTAACTTTTAAACGCAATTGCTCTTAAATGACACTACAAGGCGAACGATACTGTCCGTCGGGTTATACTGTCCTCTCAATGTATACTTACTGGCATATTATACTTAGTCTGGCCATAAATACTGTTACAAAGGAAAACAAAAAAAAAATCTATGGCAAATAACATTTATTACTTTTACAGTGTGTTAGTTTAATACATAAATATAAAACAATTTAAAGTATAAAAAGGTTATTCGAAGTGGTCTCCATTGGCTGCAATACAGTCCTTTAAACGTTGAGGCCAGTTATCAATAGAAGCACGCACTTTCCATGGGAAAATTTTTCACTGCCAATCGTACGGATTGTTTTAGGGACTCCAAATTATCATGGTGTTTAGAGCAAGCCGTACTATCTAAAACTGACCATAAATCATAATCCAGCGGATTAAGATCGGGACTAGACGACGGCCAGTCTTCAGCTCTGATGAAGTCCGAAACGTTCGTTTCCAACCAAGACTGCGTAGACCAAGCTTTATGACCTGGCGCCGAGTCTTGCTGGAAGGACCATTCTTGATTATTGAACATGGTGTTGTTAAGGGGCTTCACTACCTTCTCAAGAATGGTATCTTGATACACTTGTGCCGATGTTTTGATACCTTTTTCACAAAAGTATGGCTCAGTCACTCCTTCATAGCTAATACCCCACCAAACCATCACTGAAGTCGGATAGTGCCCACGTTGCACTCTATCGACTAATTGGGAAGCTTCCTTAGAGCTTTGAGCATAAATACGGTCATTTTGTTTGTTAAAACGTTGCTCAATTGTAAAAATTTTCTCATCCGTAAACAACATTTTTCTATGACCTCCCTTTGCGTACCGCTTCAGTAGTTGTTTCGATTTTACCACCCTATTCTCTTTTAAATTATCAGTTAAGAAATGACCAGTACGTCTCTTATAGGCTGCAAGTCCTAAGTCATCTTTTAAAATACGCGACATGGTTCTAGGTGCTATCTTCATCTCCCGAGGTAAAATCTTTTGCTTTCGGACAGGATTTCTTCGAATTCTTTCCCTTACTGCTTTGACCACCTTTTTCGTACGAACACTACGTGGACGGCTAGATCTTTTTCTGTCACAAACAGAGGAGGTCTCATTGCACCTATTAATAGCCCGGTACACAAACATTTTACTAATACCAAGCGTATGGAGAGTTTTAAAAATTGCATTCGGCTCCATACCTACTTTGTGTAATGCAATCACAGCGATTCGGTTCTCTTTATCACCCACTCCATTTTAATATCGCAAAATATTGTACAATGTATTGGCCCCAAAATGAGAACTCAATGAGCAATCATATAAAAATGACAGATTCCAAATTCAAATGTAATATTTTGTTTATTTTTAATTGTAACAGTGTTTATGGCCAGACTAAGTATATTTACTGGCAAAACGGCAGTTCTAGCTTACGCAACCAATATTAGCTACGTTAGCAGACGAGCAAGCAGCTTAAAGCCAAATTTATAATAATATGTCGTTAACATTTTCAATATATTAGAAACGTAACGTGTGGTGACGGAGTAAGAATACAATGTGTCACAACCCCTATACTATCCCAGGGAGTTGTAAGAACCGACTAAGGGAATAAGCACAAGACATCAATGCAAGAGAAGGAAAACTCGAAATTAAACCCTGTACCAACTCGTCTAGCCGGCGTGGTACAGTAGGCTAAATACCTTCATGGAAAGATCAATTGGAGAGGCCTATGTTCAGCAGTGGACAGTGTAGGCTGAGATAATGAGAAACGTAACGATATACATACAAGGGACTATGTACAATTGACCTGTTGAATTTATTAGAAAATTTATTTATTTAACGAGATATTTCAACGTAATTTTCACCAAATCATCTTACCGATCTAAAAATTGGTTCAAGTATCAAGAGCCCATGACCATACATTACATTTTACTTTTGTCTAAAATCGTGATTTCATAAGGGTTAAAAAATATTCCATTGATACCTAATACATGTTTTCCAAAGAGCGGCATCTAGCGACGTGTATTCAAACTAACGCAAAAGTAAAAGCCCTCGCTTTGAAATTAATTCAGGAAATTGACACCACAACTGAAAGCGCTGTATGAATTCGCTAATATATTGGTAAAAGAGCTTGCTATCCACATGGTGCTAATTAGCCAATGTAATCTATTGTATACAACAACAATAACTTTCATTTGTCAATATACAACTAGGAAGAGTATATAATCACTGCCTTAACTTTTATTTTATTGTATTGCTTAGATATATTGCTTAGCTATAGCATTACTTGAATATATGGTCAATTTATTTGTAATTTTTTTTATTGCTTAGATTGGTGGACGATCTCACAGCCCGCCTGGTGTTTAGTGGTTACTGGAGCCCATAGACATCTACAACGTAAATGCGCCACCCACCTTGAGATAAGTTCTAAGGTCTCAAGTATAGTTAAAACGACTACCCCACTCTTCAAACTGAAATGCATTACTGCTTCACGGCAGAATCAGGCGGGGCGGTGGTATCTACCCGTTCGGACTCAGAAGAGGTCCTACCACCAGTAATTACGCAAATTATAATTTTTCGGGTTTGATTTTTATTACACGATGTTATTCCTTCACCGTGGAAGTCAATCGTGAACATTTGTTGTAGACGTATTTCATTAGAAAAATTGGTACTCACCTCAGATTCGAACACCGATGTATCGCTCAACACAAATGCACCGGACGTCTTATCTTTTAGGCCACGACGACTTCAATAACTGCACTGGAATCAACATAGTGACAAAAGCAGACTTCATTAATTTATTGATTATACTGGCTCCCGTACCACGATTCCTTGTTCGGAGATCGCAATCAATATTCGCATTCGATATTATGTATTTCGGTATTTTGATATAGCACGAACGTTAAATATATAATCATAAATACTTTTTACTGTTCTTGAGTTTTTTCACGAACCTCTCTAACCGTGTCGTCGTGACCACGAAAACTGTATAGTATTTGAAACATCGGAAATAATGTGATAACAATAAAAAACGCGATATTAAACCTTAAGAATAGTTTTAATTATGTCTACGTCTCGAGAAAATCCAAAGCAATACTTTGTTAAGATATTTGGTATTAAGTATTTCGATGTAGCAACAATCTTTATTTGAGTTATTTGGTAATGCTTGCTTGTACAATTAGTCTTAGGGCTTTATCCGTAGCCATGCCACGGAAATTCATAACTTAGGGCCTTTCAGTATAGGATATTTTCATTATTTGCTCGTAGGATTTCCGTCGGAACATAAAATTTCATACTCATGTAATGAATTCTATAATCACAACCATATGACGTGTTGAAAGTCATACATTAATTTTCTAATAAATAGCGTACTGTGCTATCACAAGCATCAGCCATTATGAAGAAATAATATTGTTTAATAAAATCTAATACGGGACATTATATGTTGCGCATTGCTAATGGTTATGTCTTTTGCAAGCTCGCGAAGATAGATTAGACAAAGATAGGCCAAACTCCCTTCTATTTCTAGCGCGAATCATTCGATCGGTCTTTTTTAAAACGAGGATAGTAAAATCAATATAACAATACTATTAAAATATTGCCCTCATATAATCGGAGATATACATAATAATATCCTTACGGATATGGGCTGCAGAATAAGTGGTCAATTAATCATATCGTTCAAGCTTGATTGTCTTATTGTTTAACTGTGAAATGAAATGAAGTTCTTAGCCTCATTAAAGAAACTAAGTGAAACTTGTTATGTTTTATGGATTCGGGCCAATCTTTGAACACCAGCAGAACGATTGGAGCTAGTCGAACCGTCTACAATCATAAAAAAATATCCACAAATTCTACGCACATGTCAACCGTGACTCATGATTGTTATAGGGGAAATTGTTATCCAATTATTCATCAAAATTTTACCCCAAGCTGAACGTTGTTTAATCTTTCAATCTCTTTCTAAAAAAAACCGACATGTTCCATTATGCACATTTTGGGATACTTTTGACCGTAATAAAAACTATCTATAGAATTTTCGGTAGAGACTCTTATAGAAATATCCAGGTATTTTTTAAATAGCTTCATTTATTTTAGAATTTTTTAATTAAATAACTTTCATACAAAGTTGTAATCAACCCTACCAAATTTATTCACATTAAATTTTATCTCCACCGCATCTTTTCATCAATAAACGTCCTTAGTTTAGTATTTTCTTCGGTTTTCGCTTGTCGCAAACATAAGTAAAACTGCTTTTAATGTTTAAGGTTTTCGTAATCATCACCGACGTCTGTTGGACAGTACGTAGAGATAATAATAGTTTAAATCACATACTTATTCTCTCGGACAACTAAATTATCATTAAAAATAAATACGGAACCATAAAATTATTCATATTCATGAGTAGAGGACTGTTATGAAAATGCATAAATGATAATATTAACTGGCGTACTTTTGTTTTTGACATTGGCAGCATTGTGGCGCGCATGCGTTGGCCAAACGCGACGGATTTAAATTTAGAAACGCGGCTGGACATAATTCTGCCGTCCTATTTCAATAGAGACACAAACGGGTTTTACACAAACAGTACGTAATTTCGATTAAAAATTAAAGCAAATCGTACTTTAAAATTATGTAAAGATTATGATTCTGATTCGAGAAAATTACCATTAAACTATTGTGAAGTGAAGTGTAAATAGTATCAGTGACAAAACTGTGAAAATGTATTGCATTACAATCCTGATAATGTTGTTGGTAAAACAAGGTAAATTTATCGGTAACGCGACGAATTGGTACAGTTTTTGCTTAGGTCAAGAGTTTGCCCGTGACCGCAAAATAAAGAATTCGGACCGACGTGATGTGTGGAGCTTTAAAATATATTTCAAAGCCCCACTAGATTTAACTGCGAATGTACTAATTGAAATACCGTTTAAGCTTTTCAAAGAAGTTGTCATTTCTATAATTATATTTAGTGAGGAGAAAAAACAGTGATACAAGTAGATTTTTTGAATATACATACTTTTGTATCATCTTTTCGTTTTCTTAGAGTGTTATTGAATTCGTAGATAAGACAGTAAATTGTAACCTTAAAATTGAGGCAAGAAATATTGTTATATACTCAATGATTAGAAAAGGTTAACTTATACTTGTCTTATTGCTTATTCCGTCAATGCAACCATGTTTAGAAATAAATTAATTTACACACGAGGACGGTGATTTCAAAAAATATCACAAGTCGCTCACCTTTTTTTTTAACTCGACATTGTCACCATTATCATTTAAACACATTTGAAATTGCTGTCGATTTGTTAATCTACAAAACTAAACGAATTTAAATGTTAGTTTACACATAATTACGCGAGTAAGAATTAGTAAACGTATACAGTCAAACCTGGATAAGTGAGAACTGGATAAGTGAGAAAACTCTATAAGTGAGAGTAATAGCCAGGACCCGTCATTTTTAGCTCCTAAAACCTCTATTAGCGAGAAACAGAAACCTCTGTAAGAGAGAGTCGTTTTTCCCTCATGGACCTCCGTGAGTGAGACTGCTACTTATCTATACCTCTATAAGCGACAGTCGAGCTTTGTTTATTTATATTATTTAGGAGGAACAAATGACAAAACAAATTACAAATTTAACATTTGCTATTTTGTGACTCATTCTTAACTTTCGTGGAACTTCCTACCATTGTTTTTGGATTGTTTTCTCATCAATATTGAACCTATTCTATTTCGTGGAACTAAATAACGTTGTTATTTATTCGATTTCTTTTCGAATGGACACGTGTCCCTGTGTACCGTCCTGTTTGTCGGACTTACTCAGTTTATCGTTAATCAATTGCGAAGGAAAGTTCTGTTCTGCATCATGTTAAAACGGAAAATCAAAGTACTGCCATTAAGTGATAAACTTAAAATAGTGAATGCGTTTGAATCCGGGAAATCGCGAAATTAAATTCAGAGGGTGCATTAGCGAGAAACTCGGGTTAGTGAGAAACCTCTATAAGCGAGAATAAGATTGTGCTCCCTTGAACTCTCGCTTATCCAGGTTTGACTATATGAAACCAACTATGCTATCAAATTTATTTATTATCTCTTTCAAAAAAAACACGCCTTATCTCCAATATGTTTTTTTACCAAAGTAACCCTTTTTTTTCTTTTGAACGTAAACCATAAGTTAAAGATATCTTGGAACAAAATAATCCTTTATCAACTTACACTCAACGAACAACAACTATTAAAGGGATATAAATTATACTTCCGGCAATTTGAACATTTTTCATCAAAATGAAAACCGCTTTTACGACTCAATTCTCAGTCGTTCCTAAAACTAAAAAACGCATTTGAAATATCGGAAAGAATAAAATGAAAATAAAACGTGCAGTGCTATACCATTAAACATTAATTTTAATTATGTCTACGACTCCAATAGACACAGTCCACTAAGTTTCTCGCCGAATCTTCTCAGCGGATCGCGATTCCGATCCGGTGGTAGATTCTGTGAAGCACTGCTCTTGCTAGGGCTAGTGTTAGGTTGAACACGTGAACTCACCTACCCGTCCGGACGTATCTAGAATAGCCTTTTAGGCTTCCAGCGATTAGGTAAGCGAAAAAAAAGATGTTTTACAGATATCGTGAGGTCTGTGCGACTCGTGGAACTCAGGGTTCCGACCCATGAGCGGGAAGGAGGCTCCGCGTTGCTCGGCTGCCAGTACGACCTGGAAGGGGATACCTTGTACGCAGTGAAGTGGTATAAAGACGGTAAAGAGTTCTTCAAATACGCACCGAGAATTCAAACGCCCATGAAACATTTTAAGCTGCCCGGTGTTCATGTTAATGTAAGTTTTCTTTCAATGCACACGCTTTCGGTAGGCAGCGGCTTGGCTCTGCCCCTGGCTATGCTGAAGTCCATGGGCGACGGTTATCACTCACCATCAGGTGGGCCGTATGCTCGTCTGCCTACGAGGGCAATAAATAAAAAAAAGTAACGATATAAGTATACCATGTCAACTAACAATTTTATTTAACGTGCTTTTCTATTTGCGACCCTTAAAACCTTTAAATTTAGGCCACGAATGTGTACGAATGAGGAATTAGTATTTCAGTACAATACAAATGACCTTTATGGATAAGGTCACAGTATAAATAGTTCAATAAAATCAAATACAATAAAATCAATTCAATAAAAAAAAACGGTAGGCAGCGGCTTGGCTCTGCCTCTGGCATTGCTGACGTCCATGAGCGACGGTAACCACTCACCATCAGGTGGGCTGTATGCTCGTCTACATATAGGGCAATAAAAAAAAAATTATTTTTTGAAAGCCTTATGTAATTGTATGTTATGTAAAGAATTACCTCGTATTTAATTGCGAATTAAGATTTATAGTGTCGTGGCTTAAAGGATAAGACATTTGGTGTATTCGTATCGAGCGATGCGGCTGTGCCGGTGTTCAAATACCGCAGCGAGGTACCAAATTTTCTAATGAATCGTACTTACCATATCTTCACGACTTCGACGATGAAGGAATAACAGAGTGTAATAAAACTCAAACCCACAAGAATCGACACTTAGACCTCATGTCGTAAGGTGGGTGATGACGTTAACGTTGCTAATATCAACGGGATTCGGTACCCAATAAGATTGAGGGGCCGAGAGCTCGGTTCACCCATAGAAGTTCACCCATAGAAGAAATCAAAACACTGCTTTAATTTTTTATCCACCTAGGAATCCCGATCCTCGACTACTGTTGTGGCTCTCGAAAATTTAACGCGCGAATCTGCAGGACTGTACGCCTGTGAGGTTTCAGGAGAAGCTCCTAGTTTTATGACGGCTCGTAGTGAGAAATATATTACAGTTCACTGTGAGTATAAATACTAATACATTAGGGTATAAAATTGATCTTATGGAGCGTCGCTTATGTTACTGAAATTTATGCTATATTGGTCTAAAAGTAACTTAAAAAACCTTAAAAAATCTTATATAAGTAGCGTCACATAGTGCACAAACTTTTTCTTTAATATCGATTCACTGAATGTCAAATTGAAATCGATAAAAAAATTGCTTAAACCACAAAATAAATTTTACAGAAAATGCTTTATTTTTATTGCATAGATGGGTGGACGAGCTCACAGTCCACCTGGTGGTAAGTGATTATCGGAGGCCATAGACATCTACAACGTAAATTCCGCCACCCATCTTGAGATACGAGTTTTAAGGTCTCAGGATACTTACAACGGCTGCTCCACCCTTCAAACCGAAACACATAACTGCTTCACGGCAGAAATAGGCAGGGTGGTGGTATCTACCCGCGCGGACTCACAAGAGGTCCTACCACCAGTAATTACGCAAATTATGATTTTGCGAGCTTGATTTTTATTACTCGATGTTAGCTTAATACTGATTAGATTTTTTCATTTCAGTAATACCCGATACAGGACCAAAGCTAACGGGCTTAAAAGACAAATATTTTCTCGATGATCTGGTAGTATCGAACTGCACTACAGCCCCCTCAACACCGGAAGCCCATTTGAAGTGGTTAATCAATGATAGGCCGGTTCTAAAGAGGTTCCTTCGCGGACCCTGGTACAGAGTTTCAGCGGACCGCCCCGATGCCATAGAAACTACATTGCAATTAAGATTCACAGTGACACCGTCAGATTTTGTCGATGGCGCCATGAAATTAACTGTACGTTTTATTCCCTACTAGCTGACCCGGCAGACTTCGTAGTAAGCCTTTGTATAAAATAAACTTAAAACAAACAAAAGGAATCTGTCCGACGGGGGACACATCAGAGGAAAAACAAAATTGTTTTTTTATTTTATTTAATTCCGACCATTTTCATATTTATCTACCTTTTAAACCTTCTCAGGACTTCTACAAATAATTCAAGATCAAAATTAGCCAAATCGGTCCAGCCGTTCTAGAGTTTTAGCGAGACTAACGAACAGCAATTCATTTTTATATATATAGGTTATTTAAAGCAAACAAATTATTATCTGGTCACAAAACTTTTAATTCAAAAACGAAATATTATAATGTTCGTAATTTTATTTTGTCCGTAATTTTATGTTATTTGTAATTTCAGTTTGAAACTTTTGGTAGCACATGTTTAAAAATGTTCGTATTTCGTTTCTAACATTTGTTACGTAACCTTTCATGGAATGACGAATTCTTCCGAAATTGAATGCTCGAATAAATATCTCTCTATGATTGTGATTTTAAAGAAATTATTTTCGTTGCCATAACATTTGCTCAGTTGTTCATAAAGGCAATCCAAATTCGATGCTAATAGCTCTGTTTCTATTATTATTTCAGTGTCAATCGACAATAGCACCACTGTATCAGCAAGAAACAACGTCCACTCATTATATAGATTTGCCACTCAGCCTAGAAACACCATCACCGGTTTCCTCTCCAAGTACAGGTAAATCTAAATTGTGTACAAATTTCGACATCATGGGTTTATGACTATTCGCTTGAAAACAATTTTTTGGATCTATCAGCAGAATCTGTCTTGACCTGTTTATTTTTTATAGCGTCTCATTGTCTCCAATTTAAAATTAATGTTGAGTTTGAAAATTTAGATACTCGATCTATTTGATCTAATATTCGGGATGATCAATATTTATTTGATCATAATAATGTTATGATGGAATACGGATAAGTACCGACACAATGTGTATTGAAGTAATTCGTTCTGATTTGAAGAATGAGACAGTTATTAAACGATTGGGATTTCGAAATTGAATGGTGGCATTCCGATAGATGGTGCATAAGTAACCACTTCCAAAGTACCACCAGGTAGACCACAAACTAGTCTCCCGATCAATTTTCAAAGAAAAATGCCACTGATAGGCTTCTGTATTTTCATAATATAGTTATATCTGCTTGTTGACTGTTTTCTGATGTTAATTGCGTTTTGGTGTGCAATAAAGTATGTTGTCTCTCTCTTTCAATATTTAATATTGTGTGAAACGAACATTAGAGCTTAAAAAATACCAAAAATAGTTTTATGTTTCACTTAAAGATAATCATGTTCTTTTCTTTACAGATCACGCCATCAAGACGAATTGGTCTATCTTAACTGTACTATTGTCCGTTTTATTTTTAAGGATATAAATATGGGTCCGTTGAAACACCTTGGACACCGCTTCGTGGAAAATGAATTTAGTCTACATGTATACTGTTACGTCAATTTTACGGAGCTCTAATTACCGTTTTGTCTAGACGTTGCAAATTTACTTTGGAGGACCTTAAGCATGCGTGAATAATTTTGACTTTATGTAATCCGAGAAACAGGACCTAGTGAGAAATGTGTAAAAAATTTAAGATACTCGTATTCCCTGGGGTCCAAGATGCTTTTCGTTGCATTTACGTACTAACTTTATTACTGAATTATAATTTTATGTATTTAATTTATGTAGTTTAATTCTTATTCTTCTTCTTCTTATCTTATATTATCAGCACGTTTACTAATAAATCGGTACTGCAATGAAATTGCGTCAATTTTTAGAAATAATTTAGAAATATATTATAATAGTAATAACTATATTTATTTTAAAGCTTTTATAGAATTACCATGTAAAAAAATACTGTCATCAAGTAAAATTGAATAATAATCACATTTTGAGAATAAAAACTTTATTTATACAGAAAATTGCACAGTCGTTTTTTTAATTATCGAAATCAATAGTGTTTTGCTTCCTTTAATATCCAGAGCCTCTAAGCCCATTAGGTCCACCACTTGGGTAACCATCACTTCCAGAAGTACCACCTGAGTTTCGAGAGCTTCCTCTTCCGCTGGCATTAGAAAAGTTACCTGGGTCAGCGGCAGACCCTCGACCATTTCCTCGTGGTCCGCCACTTGGATAGCCCTGGCTTCCTCCATTAAGTCTATTTGCGCCGTTATTACCCGATGAAAAACCTTGATTCCCGTTTTGTCCGGAACCTCCATTTGGGTATCCTTGATTTTGGCCATTCTGTCCACCACTGGGATATCCATTACCGGCTTGAGCATTAGAGCCTCGGAATTGACCAAATGTCTGTTCTCCTGATCCTCCAAAACTATCAACGTTGTTGCTCTGAAAACCTCCTTCATTGGGACCATTTTCAGTGTATCCTTGACTCAATCTTTGCGATTCCCCGAAACCTGTAGAGTAATAAGGGCTTGATTAATTTGATAAGTATTATATTGAACTACTACAATTCCGCATAGCAGCATTTAATACCAGTTGGTCTCTGAATCGGTCATTCCAAATCTCCACCAAAAAATATGTTACTCAAAATTTATAAAATAAGATTACAATGATAATAAAGGGCGCTGAATGAAAAAAACTATTTCAATTTATTTTCTTCGTTAGTCTCCGTGATTCAATGCTGTTCGGATCTACTGAATAAGTTTTATTATTATTATTTGGAATCTAGATTTCCTTATCTCTACACTTGTATGTTTTTGATACCCACTTCATAGGAAGAATCCTTAAATTAACACCTTCAGAGTGAAACATTCGCTTCAATTAATAGAAAAAAGAAAGAAGAAATAAGCTTTCAAGTTCAATCAAACTGTTAAACGAAAAAAAGTACACATACCACCCGATCCAGATCCTTGCCTTGACCCCCCATTTCCAGTACCTAATAAAGACGAAAAGATAAAAGGCCTTATTAATTTGCTGAGTTTTTTATCTCTTTGGACCGTACTTGTTTCTGATATTTACAAAATAAAATAAAAAGTAAACAAGGGAAGCTGACATAAAGCGATCCAAATATTTCTTATAAACGCTTACAAATAAAGCTAAAAGAGTTACCAGAGATATCTAAACCTATTGACGAATCCATAAGTGTTCGAATGGAAAAAAAACAATATCTGAGATAAACCATACTTGTTATGAAGCTACTACTGTGACTTCCTCATCATTTGTCCGATATATTAATTACCATAACTAGTACCTTTCTGCTGCAACCTTCGCTACGATTCCCTAAGACCACCACTCGGATAGATGATACTATCCTGCCTAACTCTAACGCAAAATAATCACACGGTACAAATTCGACAGAACCACAGATTCTTTACTGCAATGCAAGAATGAAGAATGAATGAAATGCAGCTGAGACTTTGGTATAATGCACCAAGATCAATGGTGGTAGTAGGTAAGAGTATCAGTAAGCACTAAGCATGAGATAGATAAGTCTAAATATTCGTCTGCTTATCGAAGCCATTTAAAAACAGTTTCGCAATAGTACCATACACAATATACACAATTCTACGAAATAATAATTATAAAATAGTGTACCCTAAACATACACATACTACTATTTCACAGCTGTGATCAACTCTTGCGATAAAAATAGACAAAGTTCATTTAAATGAACCAACACCCTGGAAGCGTTGAATAATTTTAATGGACTTCAGATATAAAGAGAAAACTCAGCATTAAGGCTGAGCAAAAAATAAACAAACCCTCATATCGAATCTGAGGCTTGTATCCTTCCAGGCCAGCCTCGTACTCAACAACCTGCTTCCTGCCATCTGGCAACACTACGTTATACTCCCCAGTGGCGAGATCGCCATCTCGCTGTTCTGAATGACCAAATTTAGTACCTGTCTGTTCATCGTCCACGTCATAACTAAACTGGTATTTTGCTGGTTCCTGAAATTTTCAAGTATGATTCATCATTAAATTGAAAATACTCTTAATACTGATTTTATTCAAAATAGTTTGGTTCTATGTCATTTGGTTTCATCTTTACTTAAATATTGATAAAGGGTTTAAGAAAATCAAAGATCTAAAACTCTTACATTATTGTCATCTCCTCCAAAACCTCCATTTCCTCCTCCAAAACCTGAACCACTGCCGCCGCCATTACCATGACTAGCACCGTTACCTCCGAATCCAGGCGTTCCATACGAAGAGGATGGTGTTCCACTAAAACTACTCTGAGAACCATCGGTCAAACGAGCTCCACCGGCATGACTACCGAAGTTTCCATTAGAATTTGAATCCGAATTGGAAGACCGAAATCCAGCAGTAGAAGGATTATAAGAACTACCAGGCTTCTGATCAAAACTCTGATTATCTGGTCCAAAGCTACCGCCATTAGAAGATCCGCCATTTCCAAAAGATTGTCTGCCCTGAGAATTGCTTGTCGGATGACTATTACTACTGGCACCAGGTTGGGAATGTCCACCGGTCAATCCCGAAGAGAATCTTCCATTTTGATTTGGAGTTCCATATTGTGAGTCTGGCTTTGCTTGTCCGGAACCCTGGCGTAGTTGTTGGCCTTGAGAAGATGACCCCGAACCAAAGCCTCCGGAAGAAGGTGGGCCATATTGTGTGTCTACACTGGATTGACCAGAACGACTAGGAGGCAGATAAGAGCTCTGGGGTTGGTTACTGGGACTAAATTGAGCTCCTGAACCTTGTTGATTATGTCCAGGAGCACCTCCTGAACCGGGAGGACCATACTGAGATGAAGGCCTTCCGTTTGCACTATTTGAAGGAGGTAGGTAACTGTTTACTGGTGGTTCACAACGGATTGCTGACCAAGCCAATATACTAATAAAGAAAGTTGACTGCAACATTAAACGTAAACATTATTAAAATTTAATAAACTATAAATTATCAATTCTTAACTAAAGTGTCAAAACAATTTTCACTCACTAAAATCATGTTTGAAGAGATCTCATGAAACTCAATATGGTATTTAACAAAATAAATCCTTGTGTGGATGTTTGTCACTGAACTTTGAGTTTGGAATACATTAAGGTTCACTAGTCCGTGCTTATATAGTCGGGATGGAACGGGTGAGCGTGATATCAATGGTAATGTAACACGCATGTCGTCGTGGCTTGGTCGAGTATCGTGCATCTACAAAGAAGCTCTCAAAAACAATTGCAAACGAAATTCAATTTTAATGAGCTATATTTTAATACCTATTTTTGCTAGCATCCTGCTCATTTATTGAAATATTCGAATATAAACAAAGCGCCATTGTGTGAGAAAATATTTCGGGCTTATGAAAACTACAGATATTGAAGTACACAGATTCGCGAAACTAAATAAAAAAAAAATCTTAAAAATCTTCTAAATCTGTCTTTACCTTCCTGGGGGACCGGCTCCTTGAGCTATATAATGGCTGCTTGGAGTCGGGACGGTTTCCGTCGCTCTGGCGGACGGGTAGACTTGTGTTGTTGAGGAAGGAGGGGCGCCCGGTGGATACAGCCGCCGGGTATCGTCCTATCGTGCTGCTGGACGAGGCGGGAAAATTGCTGGAACGTATTCTGGCTGCCCGCATCGTTCGGCACCTGGTCNTCCTGTGGAAAAAAAAAAAAAAAAAAAAAAAATCTGTCTTTACCTTAACAAGTGCACCTTTCAAATATGTAACATAAATTTTTAACATAATCTTTAATTTAAAATTACATTGAAATAGTTACCAACATTTTCATTTAATTCACCTATTGTTGTTGTATTAAAGATAATACAACCATTAAAAAAAATTTGTATATCAAGAGATATACAAAATAAAATTAAAAGTTAATTCGAAGAGATAGTTCGTTAGTTTTTCTGTTTTTAGTTTCCAAAAGTGTTTTTTTTTATTGCTTACATGGGTACACGAGCTCACAGCCCACCTGCTGTTAAGTGGTTACTGGAGCCCATAGACATCTACAACGTATATGCGCCACCCACCTTGAGATACAAGTTCTAAGGTCTCAGTATAGTTACAACGCAACGGCTGCGCCACCCTTCAAACCGAAACGCATTACTGCTTCGCAGCAGAAATAGGCAGGGCGGTGGTACCTATCCGCGCGGACTCACAAGTGGTCCTACCACCAGTAAATATTTGATATTATTTGCTAGTACCTCTAATTTCAAATTATGTTCACTCAAAAACTGCAAACTTTAATATATTTCTCGAAGGCAATCAGTGTAGTACTGCTATCACCATATATCAGGTATTTTATACAGATTTATTGAGAGCACATTTACGGATGTACACAATACAATATTGGTTCACGACCTGAGATTTATCTACGAACATATTTGGTGTCAAGAAAACAATATTCGCACGTAAGACAAAAAAGTTTAAGTTCGTTTACTTCAAACAAAAAAAAAATAGTATCCGAATTCGCATCTGATTGTGTATTTTTTTTAAGCAAAAACGTAATGTCTTTACTATGAAGTTAATAATACAGATTTCGAAAGATCGAGAGCTTAATGTTTTAAGTGAGATTAAGAGAGAGAGAGAGAGTATTCTTTATTGTACACCAAAAAACAAATAAACAGTGCGATACATTAAACACAAAAAGTACAATTGGCGGTCTTATCGCTAAGAGCGATCTCCTCCAGACAACTATCAGGTGGACAAGAATCATTTGGAAACGAACTACGCGCGGTGTACCAATCCAGTGAAATATATATGCATATATGTACACACACATACATATATATATCCGTAAATATAGATACAATTAATACACAATGTATTATAATATAATAATAATTATTAAAAAAATGTAACATTAATTCTTCGGCTTCCCTCGAACGAAGTCGAGAGCTTTCACTAGTCAATGTATAGGGCTTTATAGTCAACATATAAATCAGAACGTCTACATTTTGTAAATCGTACGAATCCGTGATGAAGTAATCGGTGCCTTCCCGCCAGTTAACGCGAGTCGTGCCGACGTGTGATACCATCACGCAACAGCGGCACAATCACACAGCTCTAACGAAGACGCTTTTAATGATCCGGGTCATAATCTATATACATAAACAGGGAAAGACAAAAACAGTTATATAACATATTTTTCTTTGTCGTCAACAAAAGAAGATTGTTATTTTTTATTTACTGTCTATTGATAAGCTTTGGTGTAAGCACTTTATTTAAACTTTCTCGTCCTCATTAGGGTAAACAAGTTAAGTACCACGGTAAGCTTTGTTTGTTAACTTAGTTTTTTTTGTATCCATTGATGAGTTTTAATATTTGTTTAATAAAAAAAAATCAGCACTGTTCGTTTTCTTAGATAAAGTATTATTTTTAATACACAAAATTAAAAAAAAACTTTAAATAAAGATAACGCATTTTAGGATAACAAATGAAGAAAAATTGAGTTTCATATTACGTTATATTCAGGAGTCTACATAATTTATTTACAAGTCTAAATTGATCCAGGAATATTGGAACCATGCATATGAATGAAGCGACGGAGAATCAGTAATAACAATATAGTGACATGCAATTTTCGCACGTCATCATTATTACTCATGCACTTGCTATTCATGCAAGAATTTAAAATAGGACACTCATTTTGTTCGCTCCCTTAGTAATTACAAACCAAAACCAATGACTAATCTTCTAATATTTTGCACACAAATCTTGTGTAGATTGTCCACAAGGTGCTCTAGTTAGAATATTTCGAAATACTCTTCACAATAACTAGCTTGCCATAAATACTGAGACAAAGGAAAAAAAAATATATTGCAAATAACATTTATTACTTTTACAGTGTGTTAGTTTAATACATAAATATAAAACAATTTAAAGTATAAACAGCTTATTCGAAGTGGTCTCCATTGGCTGCAATACAGTCCTTTAAACGTTGAGGCCAGTTATCAATAGAAGCACGCACTCTTTTCATGGGAAATTTTTTCACTGCCAATCGTACGGATTGTTTTAGGGACTCCAAATTATCATGGCGTTTAGAGCAAGCCGTACTCTCTAAAACTGACCATAAATCATAATCCAGCGGATTAAGATCTAGACGACGGCCAGTCTTCAACTCTGATGAAGTCCGAAACGTTCGTTTCCAACCAACACTGCGTAGACCGAGCTTTATGACCTGGCGCCGAGTCTTGCTGGAAGAAACATTCTTGATTATTGAACATGGTGTTGTTAAGGGGCTTCACTACCTTCTCAAGAATGGTATCTTGATACACTAGTGCCGATGTTTTGATACCTTTTTCACAAAAGTATGGCTCAGTCACTCCTTCATAGCTAATACCCCACCAAACCATCACTGAAGTCGGATAGTGCCCACGTTGCACTCTGTCGACTAATTGGGAAGCTTCCTTAAAGCTTTGAGCATAAATACGGTCATTTTGTTTGTTGAAATGTTGCTCAATTGTAAAAAAATTCTCATCCGTAAACAAAATTTTTCTATGACCTCCCTTTGCGTACCGCTTCAGTAGTTGTTTCGATTTTACCACCCTATTCTCTTTTAAATTATCAGTTATGAAATGACCAGTACGTCTCTAATAGGCTGCAAGTCCTAAGTTATCTTTTAAAATATGCGACATGGTTCTAGGTGCTATCTTCATCTCCCGAGATAAAATCTTTTGCTTTCGGACAGGATTTCTTCGAATTCTTTCCCTTACTGCTTTGACCACCTTTTTCGTACGAACACTACGTGGACGGCCAGGTCTTTTTCTGTCACGAACAGAGGAGGTCTCATTGCACCTATTAATAGCCCGGTACACAAACATTTTACGAATACCAAGCGTATGGAGAGTTTTAAAAATTGCATTTGGCTCCATACCTACTTTGTGTAATGCAATCACAGCGATTCGGTTCCTTTATCACCCCACTCCATTTTAATATCGCAAAATATTGTACAATGTATTGGCGCCAAAATGAGAAAACTCAATGAGCAATCATATAAAAATGACAGATTCCAAATTCAAATGTAATATTTTGTTTATTTTGAATTGTAACAGTATTTATGGCCAGACTAAGTATTCCCGCCGACAGGTCAGATTGCGCATAGAATTTATAACAACATTAAGTCTGAGGGTATTTGGAAAAAATATAGTAAAGAGCCGAAAATAAGTCTCTAGTAATGAACGTCGTTTGAAGTCGTCGTGGCCTAAAGGATAAGACGTCCGGTGCATATGTAGCGATGCATCGGTGTTCGAATTCCGCAGGCGGGTACCATTTTTTCTAATGAAATACGACGTACTTAACAAATGTTCGCGATTGACCTCCACGGTGAAGGAATAACATCGTGTAATATAAATCAAACCCGCAAAATTATAATTTGCGTAATTACTGGTGGTAGGACCTCTTGTAAGTCCGCGCGAGTAGGTACCAACCACCACCCTGCCTATTTCTGCCGTGACGCAGTAATACGTTTCGATTTAAAGGGTGGGGCAGCCGTTGTAGCTGTACTTGAGACCTTAGAACTTATATCTCAAGGTGGGTGGCGCATTTACGTTGTAAGTGTCTATGGGTGGATGAGCTCACAGCCCACCTGGTATTAAGTGGTTATCAGAGCCCATAGAAATTATTAATATTAAAACTTTAATAAACGTTTGTCTGAACATTGAGTAGCTTTGATCAAACGATTTCTCAGTGAAACTCAAATACCTTATACTATGTGCATACGTCTGCACGTCATATCGTTTGATTGGCTTCCTAATGAAAACAGGACTGTGGTTTTGGTTCGTTCCATCCCTTTGACTGATCAGACTGGAACAACTGTTTGATATTGCACTGCCAATTCTCTCTCCAAAGACGAGTATTGCGCTAATACTGAACAACAGTTTTGGTTTACTTAAAATTGCTTTATTTTTCGCACATGTGCGATATATATAATACGCACTCACTAATCTGAATTACTGTTTTCATTGATAAAATTGCAGTTTTGTATGAGAGAAAATTTTCATGTATTTTTTTTTAATTTCCATTGCTCACAGTATTCAACCTTTGTATTTTATTTTTATCTTTGTATTTATATTTTTCAGCGCAGTGACTATTTGTCGAAGATTTTCTTGAAGAAGTCAGCTAGATGGGATAGCTCTTCAATCATCAAATCATTCTTCGTCCGAGTATTGTTTTTTTCCGGGAAAACAGCTGAATAAATTAAAAAAGAAAAAATGTGAGCAGTTCATACGCAATAAAACTGTAATCTTTAAAAGTAAAGTATCTCGTTTTCTCATCGGTTATATGCTACAGATATATGTTTAATTGTCTCTTTTTTTGTGTCGCTTTTCAGCTGTCATCGGATTTCTAGTCATAACGGCGCAAAATTACTGGTGGTAGGACGTATTGTGAGTCCCCACGAGTAGCTACTACCACCCTGACTATTTCTGCCGTGAAACAGTAATGCGTTTCGGTTTTAAGGGTGGGGCAGCCGTTGTACTGTAAAAACTGACACCTCAGAACTCATATCTCAAGGTAGGTGTCGGCATTTACTTTGTAGATGTCTATGGTCTCCGGTAACCACCGGTAAAAATCAGGTGGGTCGTAAGCTCGTCCATTCAACAAAGCAATAAAAAAAAATTGTTTTTTTAAGTTTATGCTCACTATAAATATGTTATTTATTAAAATAAATTGATTAATAAAAAAAGTTTCGTATTTTTTGTGGTTTTTATTTATTTAGTTTCATATAAAATAAATAGACGTTTTACAACAATTAAAATAAAATACTTATCGCAGTAGTGAAATTTAATATTTAAATTAAAGTAATTTCTGTTTTGTGTTCACTTTCACAAAGTTCACTGTTACAATCATTAAAACTTATAAATTTTGAAGAGCTACAAAGTTATATGGCCTCACACATAAATAATGGATAAATTTCGAATTTCAGAATACGATTTATATAATTACAATGTTAATTTTTCAACTAATAAACATATAAAAATAAATTTTACAGAGAAAACATTCATTCAGCATGGTATAAAATTATAACGTTTAATTTCTTAGAAATATGTAAGAAAATATATTGGTGGTCGTTAATAGTGCATTCATAGACTTGTTTGTGATTGTTCATGGTAGAACAAAAAATAATTTATCAGATCGAATCTATTTTTATAATATAAATCGATTTTTTTAACAAATAAGCTATAGTTTCAACACAGTGTGACCGGTTATCTTGAATAGTAATAAATATTTAACACAACAGGGCAATAAAGGGTATGTGGCATTACATAGACTAAATTATTCGAGATAGATGATAAGAAAAAATATAACAGTAGAAGAGTATCTGTATATTATATGATCTACTTATTTTTTCAATGATTATATTAAAAAATTCTCAATTTAATCAATAATTTCTTATTTTAATCAGATTACACGACGTTTACGTCTTCGATAATGGTATTAGCTAAATATTAGCTAAATATAATTAACCAAACGTGAAACGTAAAATTAATTTAATTTAATATTATTTAACGTTATTAATCAATCACTTCAGTAAACATTCATAAATATATAATATCATCACACAACAACCTTATTTTATTTAATACTGCTTCAAATATACAAAAATAACAAATCAACAATATTAACGTTAATTCACTAACACAATTAATCTTTTAAATTCTGCTATATTATAATAATATATAATATATTGTACATAAGTAGTACTACACGTCATACGTCACAGCTAATGTTCTAAATTCGAATCATCTGCCATTTTCTCGGATTACTACTACTACTACTACTACTACTACTACTACTACTACTACAGTTGATATTTAATCTTTACTGTTTCCTTCTATGAGAACCATCACGCCAAACTATAACAATCTACATATATGTACATGCAAATATGCACCGCTTAAAGCTCATAAAACTCACCTCACTCATTCACTCGTGATGCTGTAAGGATTACGTACAAATTGACTACGAGATAAACTGACTAAAAAGGGGTACGCATACAATTTCAAAGTTTTATTTTCAATTGTGATTTTTTTGTCAACGGTACCTACATAAAACATAGATATAATTTAAATTTACTTACTCCGAACATCGGACCTTTATGAAGTCAATAAGAAAATAGTAACGGAGCTATTACTTTTTTTTTAAATAGACTATTATTCGGTTCTATTTTTTTAAATCGCAGAGGTTAAGAACCAACACTGCCTTTTATATTTGTTTTCGGAAGCAGTTCCAGTGCTCCCTGAATAGCAAAATATATGACCGCTTAGATACAGAGCGCACTAAGAAACCTAGACACCCATATTATTTACACTCGAAAAATGATACCATATACGGTATAAGGCAGACGGATTTAAAAAAAAAAACTAATGCTACGAGATGTGTGTAATTTAACTTCTTCAAAGATACGACCGGATTTTATACTAGTCAAATCATAAAACGTATATAGGAAATTCTCAAAAATAATACTGTTAAATTTAAAACACAGTTGCGACAGTCTGCATTTGCACTCGCTCTTTGGATTTCTTGCCGCGGAAGTGTTGTTCGATCTCGGCCAACGACTTGCCTTTGGTCTCCGGGACTAGGAACAGAACGAAGAAGAACGCGATGGCGCAGAAACACGAATACATCCAGAACGTTCCGGCTGATGTCAATACCCTCTGAAAGAACACAGTTATTTTCTTAACTCTGATTACATTGCTTTATGCGATTATTATATTTATTTATTAAATCGTATCAATAAAACGAAATACCATATTTTTTCTTCGCTTCATTAAAATGGATCAAGAATTTACGAAAATTAATTTATAGCAATTTTACAAAATCATTTTAATGTGTACTTTCCAATCTGTCTGTTCAAAATTCTCCCGTTTTAAAACATACTATTATGTTATTATACTTTCAACTTAAAATTGTGCCACACTGTTATGTTATTATATAATACTTTCAACTTGAAATTGTATCAGTATAATTATTACAAATCGATTTACTCTTTTTAATTCGTCATATTGATACAGAAAAACTTAAGAAAGAAATTTGAGTCTTCCTTAAGATAAATAAAATGCCAGCTGCATTTGAAAAAAAAATGTTTCATCTTAGCAAAGGTAAACTCAGCCGATTTTTTTTTCTTTTTTTTTACCCTTGTAGGCAGACGAGCCCTGATGGTGAGTGGTTACCGTCGCCCATGGACTTCAGCAATGCCAGAGACAGAGCCAAGCCGCTGCCTACCGCTGTCCGGTATCTATCCTATACACAATAACATTGTCAACTGTTAAGATAGAACTCACTTCAAGAGCATGATAAGACTTGATGACGGTGAACATGGACAGGAGATTGACGGCGCTGGCCATGGCCGAGAGCTGGGACCTGTGGTGCGCCGGGAACAACTCTCCGAGCAACAGGAACGGGAGACCACCAAATCCTAACGAGAACCCGACCATAAACACCACCAGACTTATTACGGGTAGGTATCTGAAAGTAAAAAATATTGAACATTTAAATATTTTAATTACTTTTTTACAATAATATTTAATACAGTTTTAATTAATAATATATATGATGATCACTAAATAACCTAGCCGTCCATGCGTATTTGGAATAGTCTCATAGGCTACCAATGATTACGTAGGGAGGGAAACCTGACCAAAATGACCAGTAGGTTTAAATGATAGTTTTAATTCTACTTGTAAATAGTTATAACATTACAATGACACACTTACCCCAAGAATGAAGAATTTTCGAACTCAAAATAGAATGCTGCTCCCATAGAGCCCATGGACATCGACATGATTGCCGCAGAGACGAGCAGCAAAGGCCTTCTGCCCGCACGGTCGACTAATAGCGTGCTTACACCGTTACACACCAACTGAACCAAGCCAATGATAATCGTCGCTGTCATTGCATCTAATTTGCTACCTGGGAACAGAGAAGCTCTTTGAGGATAATCATAAAAAAACAAATACTTTTCTCTGCCTAGACGTACTTTATGAGAATACCTATGTACATATGGAAATGCAAAATGTGGGTAGTGAAGAAAATTATCGAAATTACACAAATCGAAAACGATATCTTAAAAAATAATATCCAAATATGAATCATTCCGATCAGCAGTCAGATTATTCAAAATGTTCAGGGACAAAAATGTTTAACGAAATTCATTGATCAAGTAATATTGTTTTAAGATTTAAACGAACTGTTTTTTTATTCATTTGTAAAACCTAAATTAACTGGACTATATCTATTACCATGTCTCACTAAAATTATATCAGGCGCGCTTACATTGATATGCGATTTTAAACTTTAAAATAGAGACGGTAAGCGAATACAAGAGTTGTTTGAAATAGCGAGCTATTTTTATGTTAGACTTTCAATTGATATCCGATTTTAGTCACATCAGGGTATTCTACTTATACCTTCTTAATTAACAATATTTCCTATCTCTATTAAATTATACTGGTTTCCCATCTCTAATACATACTGGTACGGCGAATTGTAAGCTTATATGAATTTATCATCCTACTATATAGTTGTATCCGTCCGCTTCGCCGGGCATTTAAAATTAGCATTATTATTTCTCACCCCCACGAAGAGAAAGAACGGCCCCGCAACTGGTGTAGGGAGTCCAAAACTCATATAAATATCAGCCTATCCATTAAGCGGATGCATGATTCAGTAGTTATAACGAAACATCCGTAAAAACCACTGTAGATTTATATATTACTATAGATTTATTATTGTCTGAAGAGCATTTTTACGTTCCGATCTGAAGAGCGAGTCGGCCCTATTGCAATGCTGTAGATAAATCCAGCTCACATCTCAGGATAGCGCATAGTATTTTTTTTATTGCTTAGATATGTGGACGAGGACTCCTTGGTAACCACTTAACACCCAATATGAAGCCCACCTGGTTTTAAGTGGTTCCTGGAGCCCATAGACATCTACAACGGAAATGCCGCCACCCACCTTGAGATATAAGTTCTAAGCTCTCAGTATAGTTACAACGGCTGCCTCACCGTTCAAATCGAAACGCATTACTGCTTCACGGAAGAACGATGTTATTCCTTCACCGTAGAAGTCAATCGTAAAGATTTCTTAAGTACGTATTTCATTGGAAACATTGGTAGGCGGAATAATCAGATAGTTTATTTTTATTAGTGCAATTTTACTCACCAGCACTTTCGAAGATTTCCACAGTAAAGAAAATGACAGCATCGATACCACTGAATTGTTGGAAGAAGAGCAGTGCAAATCCAATGATGAGTGGTTTAATCACCACTGAAGAGAAGAACACTTTGCGAGTGAACAGACTTGGCTTTTCATTTAGATCTTCAGATTTTCTGGTAATTAAAGCAAAATTCCGCTTAGATAAATAATTTATAAGCACACTGATTGACTCACGATATTTTATTTGGCTGATAGACGAATTAAATATATTTTATTATTTATTCGTATTGAAGCGAGCCGTATTATATTTTATCATTATCTAAATTTTATTTCACCTCTCATCTTCATCATCTATCTTTTTAATCAGCCTTCTCCTGGCCCCTAATTTGATTTCTGGTAAGAGAAAGCTGTATGATGAGTTCATCGTGCAACTTTATTCTGTCGTAAAGCGACCATGCATAGCAGCCAGAATAACTCAATAATACCAAAAATACTTGTTATGGTTAAAATAACTGTAATCTCTATGCAATCCGGTTATCGACGTAATTTCGTGACAGTGTTTTGTGGTGTTTTTTTTTTTGAATGAAGGATTACTGGTAGCCCGGACACATTTGCAGTTTCAACGGGACAGGTGGGCTCAGCCAGGACGGGATAGGATTTGTTAGCAGCTGCCCGAACGCCTCTAAGGAAGACCTACAACTCGAGGACTACTGCTTTGCTTATTAAGTGTGGTGGTACTCTGGTACACTGGAGACACCATGAGCCGTAATCTAAAGTAATAAAAAACTTACTCGGGTGTATCATCTTCAACAGCTGCGGTAGCGCGAGCAGAAAGATGCAGCCACTTGATAGCGGGAGCGGGATCTTGGCCTTGCGCCTCCAGCCATACCGGAGATTCCGGTAGCGAAAATAATGCCAGGAAAAGGGCAACTGAAAGGATCAACAAATATTTATTATTAAAATATGAAGTGGTTACGGTATTTCTACGAAAACAAATGACAACCAAATTAGTACTTTCCGCTAAGGACGTCGATTGATAAGTCCATATTTGGAAGAATGGTGCGCGGAAAAAATGTCCTCTCTTAAAACGCTCATTTATTCTAGTAGATGGTAAAATAGAAAAAAAGAAGACTGATCAACTCTAACACTTCTTCCCTAATTTTCTTATATTTTCAATAAAAGTTTAGAGACTGAAATCTAAATAAATTAAGCAAGAAAATGCTTCTTAAGGCGTATAATTGAGAAATAAAATGCAATTAAGTTTTTAACATTTTAAGAAGGATTAAGATCTTTTAATATAATTTCTTGACTCACGCTACGCGCACTTGTTAACTTACGATAATATGTAAAGTCACGTTACTTAATTTGTAAATTAAAAAGGACTTTTGAACCAAAATTAAAATATCTTACCACAAAAGAACGCTGAGAAGAAAGCTAGATATCTCCAATAAAGCCAGTTTCCGGCAACGTAGGATAGCAAAATGCCCAAAGACATGGATAGGGTCGGTAGAGAACCTAATCGGCCACGGATCTCAGGGTCACAGCATTCGCTCACCTGAAAAAAAAAACCGTCAGTCAGAAATATACTCGTGGTCCTCCTCACCATTCCCAACGGAATATTCCGTAAATCCAAAACCATATCTATACTAATATCTAAATATATAGTGATTTTTACGGATGTTCCGTTATAACTACTGAACCATGCATCCGACTGACTTGAAACTTGGTATCCATTTAGAAAATACATGTACTTAATGGATAGGCTAATATAATCAGTGTGGGACTCCCTACACCAGTGTTGCGGGGGCGTTAATGATGAGAATCTTTGTAGGGGTGAGAAATAATAATGTTAATTTGAAATGCCCAGCGAAACGGATGGGTACAGCTAGTATGGATACAAAACATGTTTATGTAACTATACTGACTCCTTAGAACTTATATCTCAAGATGGGTGGCGCATTTACGTTGTAGATGTCTATGGGCTTCAGTAACCACTTAATACCAGGTGGGCTGTGAGCTCGTCCACCCATCTAAGCAATAAAAAAATAAATATAAAAAATCAACAAAATTTATTACTTACATAAACTTGAGCCGGAGCAAGAGCGAAGCCGACGCATAAACCGGAGATCATTCTTCCCAGCAGTATCAAGGGGAAGTATTTGGCCAGACCGAGAATTATCCAGCCCGCAACCCACAAAGGCGCAGTGAGTTGAAGAGTCCGCCGACGACCGAGCCTCTGCATTAAGACTCCTGATAACAAGCTCCCAACAAACGCTCCTAGTGGAGGAATCGCACCTGAAAACAACAATTGCCTGATAAATATACATAATATTGATTAAAAACCATTATAAACTTATTAAACTTATAAAATTATTTACTGGTGGTAGGATCTCTTGTGAGTCCGCGCGGGTGGGTACCACCACCCTGCCTATTTCTACCGTGAAGCAGTGATGCGTTTCGGTTTGAAGGGTGGGGCAGCCGTTGTAACTATATTTGAGACCTTAGGACTTGTCTCGGGGTGGGTGGCGTATTTACGTTGTGGATGTCTATGGGCTCCAGTAACCACTTAACACCAGGTGGGCTGTGAACTCGTCCACCCATCTAAGAGCAATAAAAAATAAATAAATAAAAACTGTTACTTTAATCAAACGACATTATTTCACTCAATAACTCATTCGGTATTTGAAATCCGAAACAAACGGGTATCGAGATGAACAGTAAACGATGTTTTCAAAACATTAAGTCAGCAATGATCGCGTGTATTTTATTATAGGCGATATATTAATTTAATCAATAGCTCTATTCAATAAAGTTACAAATGTTGAATTAATTTCGACATACCTATCTATGACCAAACAAAAAATGCAATCATAGGTATGTAATTAGAAAATGAATTTCGCTACATTTCTGAAAGCAATAATAATACACACAGAAAAACATATGGAACGAAAGCCAACCGTTAAATTATCGCAAATAATTCGATGAACATGAACTTAAATTTGAACAGCAACTCTAAAATTACGGACTTGTTTGTACACCGTGCTTTCATGGATCGTTCACATTTCGTGGTAACTCAACTGGACAGTAGCCTCTAATAAATAATTATTAAAAAATATGGTGTCGTTGACACTGAACATGCTAACGATTGAAAAAACACGAGAAATAAGTACAAGCATCGCTAATTCGTTTTTCGCCATCATTAGCATGTACACAAAGTTTTCTTTTGAAGCAAAACACATATTGTTTTTGACGAAAACATCTAAATAATATGCCAGAAAAGGTGCTTATTCGTTCTTTTTGTACCTAGAACTGTTCAAATTTTACCGTATTTATGAATGTTCAACTAATCAATAGTCACGTTCACTGGTGGTAGGACCTCTTTTGAGTCCGCGCGGGCAGGTACCACCACCCTGCCTATTTCAGCCGTGTAGCAGTAATGCGTTTCGGTTTGAAGGGTGAGGCAGCCGTTGTAACTATACTTGAGACCTTAGAACTTATACCTCAAGATGGGTGGCGCATTTACGTCGTAGATGCAGTGGCGTACCTAAGGGGGGGCGGTGGGTGCGGTCCGCACCGGGCGGCACTTACCCTGGGGCGGCATTTTAGCATTTACTTTTAGTTGTATAAAGAAATTTATTCATTTCATATTTATTTCCTTTCTTGAATAATCAATGATTATTACGATTATTATAAGTTTAATATTTGATTTATATAAATTATGATTAACTATATNGAAGAGTAGATATTATATAAATATGTTTACGAGTGCATACAAATAAGTCTAAAAAAATTTACTCTGTGTATTAATTAATATTGATTAAATAACTTAATAATTTATTTATGTGTATTAATTTATAAAACCACTATTTGATTGACTTATAATAGAAAGGGCGGCAGACTGGAGATCGCCCCGGGCGGCAAAAGTTTTAGGTACGCCACTGCGTAGATGTCTATGGACTCCAGTAACCACTTAACACCAGGTGGGCTGTGAGCTCGTCCACACACCCATCTAAGCTATAAAAAAAAAAAGTAATACTCGGGTCATTAACGGCCTAGAATTTCCTAATTTATTTATCACCACAAAAAAGCAGACGGACGCACAGTTTATCTACCGTCAAGGGTTTACCGGAGTCCGTAGATAACAATACCGCCAATTACCGTGAGATTTGAGGTTGAATTTAATAATTGTTGTCTCGCGCTTCGGAGGGAGGGAAAGGGAATGCGCAAATGCTTCACAGTATGAATAGGCTAACTTAAAATATACGTCATTAGCTGCGAATTTTACGACGTCACAGACATTCATACGTATTCTAATCGCTTCGTAGAAATTTACGCAACGAATTTCATTCCTTTCTTGATCCAGTTGATAAGTTTTTGGTCTATGATAAGATATGGCCTACCCGATCACTAATAGCCAAGTCGCTGCCTACAGCTGAATCGTACCTGGAAACCTTGTTTGAAGAAAGACATGTTATAGAGCTCAAAAAATACCGTAGAGGGAAATACATCCTAAAGCCCTATAGTATGTGGTAAAAAGGTCTCTGAAAACGCACAATAAACAAATCAAATTAATTACCGATCCATGATTTCTGCTCGCTACTCTGTATGATGTGTGAGTCCTCGCTTTCTATTGAGGGTATGGCTGATGCAGAGTATCCTCGCACCAGGCCGATTATAAGGAAAGATAGTGACGCACCCAAAGTCAGCCATAGCTGGAACAAAATGTATATTTTGAATGTCACAATTTCAAATTAACGTTTAAAAAATTCACCCTGCGTCTTGTGGCAAAATTTTGTTTTATTCAGGAGGAAATCGTCGGCGCCACCTTGTCACATAGCAACAGGCACCGTGATGCCATGACCACCAAACCTTGATGGGCTGACGGGCTTTCTGAAGCCGCTCAGAAACCGCCTTCAGCATGTACTCCAACATACTCCGCGCTGGTTCATAACCTACATGGGACGGAGAGTGCATCATACGTCACCCAGCCTGTCCCCAAGCCCGCAGGCAAAGCTTAACTGAATTCAAAATAGATCATGATTTACATAAAAAATCAGAATTATTAACTTAGGTTTCAAGTCTTAATTCAGTGCACTTGATTTGCGCGAGGTATACGAATGATCACGCAAATTGACAATTGAACCAAGTTTATTTTATTAAACGGCGGTGGCACTATCATCCCGCTTGGGTATTTACTATCATCCTATTTCTGTCGTGAAGCAGCCATGCGCCCCTATACAGTAAGCTTGAGACATCGACCCCATAGCTTAAGGTCGACGACAACACTCAAGTTTTGGCTCGTTTGACAATCGTTTGAAAAAATAATTAGAATTTTTTTGTGCTATATATACACAATAAGCAGACGCTGCCATTCCTTAACCTTTGCTCTGTTTCGTTAAATATTTACATTGTTTTGAAATTGAAATGAAACGCAAGATCTCGGGCGAATGAAAACAATACTGAATGAATAAATGAAATCAAAACATAGCGCGAACCGAGACTTCGAGGCGAACAAATTTCACAAGCCATAAGACTAGTGTGAAAAAGGTGCAAAAACATCATTCTAGATGTACCAAGGTACGATCTATGGAAATATGGTAAAGTCCCTTCAAATGAACAAGTTTCATAATCAAGAACGGTTTTTACCAACGGAACTCATTCGAACGTTTCTGACTTCATAAGACTGAAAACAGAATAACGCCCGCGTTATTGATCTTCATGGGAAATTGTAGAGAACGACATGATCTAAAATACATGATTGTTTAGAGACCCTAAACCATTCCAGAAGATTGGCTGTACTGAATTTTCGCATGGAAAAAGTGCATTTTTCTGCCGGTACCTAGCCATAATGTTTAAACATTGAATTAAAGACAATGGACATCGCTTTGCGTGAACTCCGTATTTAAAAAAATCTAAATTATAATATTATATTTACTAGCGAAGACTACACTGAAAGATCTTTCATATGATATTATAAAACATATTTCAAAGTATATTAGAAAAAATCTTACTCATTACAAACATTCATAATACTTTTCAAAGAAGTGCAACTGTCATACAATCAAATCCTATTATAATATCAGTTCAAGGACATTTCCTAGGTTCAAATACCAATTTGCTTGATGGCTTATCTAATGACTACGAAAATGATTATCTATTTAACAATCACGAGATCATGCACATAAAAATGAATGCCAATCGTGCGAAATATTCCAATTTTCTCGTAAGTGGTACAGAAATAGCTATGAATTCATATTGTCGAGGACTATTGTTAAAAAGTCAATTTAGTTGTCGTATCCTGTAAGACGGAGCATATGATAGCTGTCTTCCGTTGAGATATCAAGGTGTACACGCTGTGGGCGACAGTCAAATGACACATCAAATTCAATATTTTTAAATCAATTGAATGGAATTCGTAAGCGGTGCCTGCTAATAACAAAGAAACTGATCTAGAAAACTACTAGTTAACAAAGTCTTATCAAAATGTTTTCTTAACTATTCAAATCAATGTCTATTTAAATCAAAAATACAATATTGTTAATATTACTTATGACCGTAATTGCATCTCCAATCAACGCTCATAATATGTATAAATGTGAAACTAAGTGTGTTTGTTCCGCTTCTTACATCTTAACCATTGACATGAAATTTTACAAAAACAATGAACAGAATTGAACAGATTTGCAGTAGGCAGCGGCTTGGATCTGCTCCTAGCATTGCTGAAGTCCATGGGCGACGGTAACCACTCACCATCAGGTGGCCGTACGCTCGTCTGCCTACAAAGGCAATAAAAAAAAAAGTACAGCTAAAATACTTATCCTTATCCTTAAAATATTTATCCTTAGTATTATCTCCAGCGACACTGTATGTAAAAGACAGTCGGTATATAAGACTATGCCTCAAAATTAATTCAAACTAACCGTTAGTGGATTTAAGACGTCTCTCATCGGAGAATATCTGATCTCAGATATTCATGAAGACTCAAATCTAATGTCTTCATGAGTACGCTCATAAATACTCAGAATTAGCGTACCTTTTTTAATATCATAACATTCATAACAGACATTGTTATGTTTTGTGTTATGTTTCGTTATTACATTATTACAGTTTGACAATGATATTCACCATTTTTTTATTCTGATTTCCCTAATCTTACTTGACTTGTGTTTACTTTCCCTGAAAATTGAATGTTTGAATGACATTAGCAAATTTTCATAAGCGAAATCGGTGATCTGCCGTTATAGCGAAAGTACCCAAGTAATTATCCTATAAATGAATTTTGCAACAGATTTGTGTCGATTTAAAAGTCAGACAATACGCTTCCAGGTGTATTATATAGTATGTTAAACATTTATGAATGCATGACTAATCGTTCCGACAACTATTAAAAATAATAATGGATGATTTGTTAAGACTAGAATATGTGCGACGAAGTTTTTTACAATATCTTTTTCAATTGAAAACGTTTTGTATCATGAACAAACAGTATTATACAAAAAATTAAACGTGGCCCGTTTTAGTTTTGCCTCATTGCTTTACATTATCCAGTCGATTAACATATCTTAAACTAATTTTGTATTTATTTATTACTAGCGGAATATATTAAGTCTAGATATAGATTGGGTAGACGGGCTAAAGAACTCTCGGCCAGGCTGGTTTTAAGTGTTTACCGGAACCATCGGCATGACAAAGTGAATTTTAGGTATCCTTACTTGAAATGTGAGGTCTACATATGGCACTATGGAACCTATTATAGATATATCTACTGAGGCTAAATCAACGGCTGCACCTAAACCTTCCAGTACCTGCCCATGCGAGATTTCTTAATACACCATACCATACTATAATATACTATAATATACATACCATACCATAATATATATATTCTAATTCATTCAAGGTTGATTAACTTTCTTTTTTCTAAGCCAAATCAACAATATGAACATATTTTATCTACAAAGAGAGAGAGAAAAACATTGAAAACAGTCCACAGGCAGGTCTAATTTGTACAATAGGTCTTATCGCTAAAGGCGATCTTTTTCAGACAATCGTTTTCGTATAGGGAAATTCTGAAAATTATATCGCAGGTATGTTTGAACGTACCATTTCAACAATTTCAAAGTGATTTATAAAATAACCAAACCTTAAAGGACCTTAAAGAAATATAAATACATATTTAAAATAAATTAATAACTACACTATTTATGAAGACATATTTTCTGAAAATTTTATTAATATGATTTAATATTTTATATTACATACACGAGTGGTCTATAAATAGTATAAAGATAATCGCTTTAAATTTAAGCAAAGTATTTCCTAAAAATTCGCCGTAAACATAACGACTGCAATGTTGTTAGCCTCAATGCTCCATTAAAACAAACTAAGTCAGTGAGAATCATCTGGGCGACCTTTGCAACTTGATCCAATGGCACCGCAAAATAAGTGGGCACTTTGAGAAAAAAATGTAATTACAACGTTTATGGCAAGCCCGCTGTATGCACGGAATACAAACGGTTTTCCTCGATAGGGAATCTCGGATTTCCTGTAACTTTACTAAAACTAGAGGTCCCGCAGTAGTCGAAATTCGACTATAATTAATTGGAATTGTAAGTTTGTACACTATTATGATTGTATTTTATACTACATTATAAAAAATATTAACAAAGACAAACAATATTTAATCTATTCTCAATTTGACAACAGACGTCAAGAACAAAAGTTTGACAATAAATAAATAGTATGCATGCGTGTGTGCGTTAAATACATGGTATGTAGTTGTGTAATGTTTTCTTTATTGATTTAATGTATCTTTTATGCATTATTTAAAAAAAATATTAGCATTGTGCACTTCTTCTCTATATTCTCTATAAGTGTGGAAAGTTTCATACTCCTCCGTCCGCGCAATTTTCGTAAAAAGGGATACAAAGTTTTTGCTTCACGTATTAATATATAGATGTTTCAAGGGATACTAAATGTCGTATATCTCCTATCTAATGTTAATACTTCCTTATTACAGATCTGCATAGAGTCCATTATTGTCAATTCCTTTGAGTAGAGCCTTGATTTTTTTTGTCTGTGGCGTCGATTTGTAAGCAATCGTACTATAGCCCATCTGTCAAGTGGTTACATGGGCCTATAGACCTCTTGTGAGTCCGCGCGGGTAGGTACCACCACCCTGCCTATTTTTGCCGTGAACCAGTAATGCGTTTAATTTTGAAGGGCGGGGCAGCCGTTGTAACTATACTGAGACCTTAGAGCTGATATCTCAAGGTGGGTGGCGCATTTACGTCGTAGATGTCTATGGGCTCCAATAACCACTTAGCACCAGGTGGGCTGTGAGCTCGTCCACCCATCTAAGCAATAAAAATAAAAACATCGTATATAAATGCTACTAGGAATTCCACTAGCTTTGGGATGTGAGGGGAAAATTCATCCGATTGCAATTAACGCGGAGATCTGTTCTCCCCATTACCGAACAGGAGATATTTGGAGTACTGATTTGAAAAAAAATGTCTTAGTAAAATGGAATTTAAAAAAAAATTATTAAGTTTCATGGTTACCTTAGCGCATGAACAGTATAAAAATTCAGTAATGCGACATTCGCAAAACAATTTTACCTTATAAACATTGAAAATTGAATCGTCACGACAGCTGCCATTTTAGATAAGCAAAGATACATAGTACCGCCGGCCTTGTCGTAAGGTTAAAC